CGCAAATCTAGCTTGTTCCTTTTTGGTCCACTTTTTCTCGGGGATGGGCTGCCTCTGGTGAAAGAAGTTGGTCATTCCCTGCTATAGGCAGAGTGGGATAACTATTCTTAGATAAAGGGCTCTACTGTATGGGATAAACTTGGCAATGCAGCAATAATTTCTGCAACAATATTCCTTAGTAGCCTTTAGCTGAAGCCACAACTGAGAAAGGTACAAACTGAAACTTAGGGATTTTTTGGGGGGAAGGGGGTTCTTTTATAAATATTGTAAAAAGGTAAAGGACCCCTGACAGTTAAGTCCAGTCGCGAAAGACTCTGGGGTTGCAGCGCCCATCTCGCTTTACAGGCCAAGGGAGCCGACGTTTGTCTGCAGACAGTTCTCCCCCCCCCCCCCCGGTCATGTGGCCAGCATGAGTAAGCCGCTTCTGGCGAAACCAGAGTGCATGGAAATGCCGTTTACCTTCCCACCGGAGAGGTACCTATTTATCTACTTGCACTTTGACATGCTTTTGAACTGCAAGGTTGCAGGAGCTGGGACCGAGGAATGGGAGCTCACTCCGTCATGGGGATTCGAACCGCTGACCTTCCGATTGGCAAACCCTAGGCTCAGTGGTTTAGACCACAGCGCCAACCATGTCCCTACAATAAATATTGTACTTGCTACTAAAACATACCTAACTCAGAAGCGGTTTCTAGATTTGTTTAGTTAAAATCAAATAATAAATAATGGATTAAAAACAGATGTTTGTGTTTTCTGGCTGAGAATGTTATACCGTTAATGTTTTTAAACATTTATTAGCTGCTTCAGGACTGACAACAGTCATAACGGTGAGGTGTCTGGGAAAAGATGCCGAAGGTACTCCAAAGAAAATGGCAAAAGACTTTGCTGCCTAAGATCACTTGGTGACACTGTTGCAGTAATATGTAAGCTCCAGCTATGTGGCAAAGCAGATGTTACCCTCACCCTTCCCTGAATTTCAGAACGGGTCAGGAGCATGGTCATTATGTGGCCAGGTGTTCTGTTTTAGTCAGTAAGTCATTTCATTTGTATGCCTCTCTTCTAAGCACACAAAACCATGCTCAAAGTGGCTTGCAATAAAGAAAACAGGAATGCCTTTCAAAACCAAACCATGCAAAAACATAATAATCACAGGTGCCAGGTTGCTCCCAAGATTGAGGGGGCCAGTGCACATCATGCAGGTGTCACGTCGCACAACGGCACACACAACTCCCAATGCTGTGTAGGCCGAACCAGCACAGCCTAGCAGAAGGATGCACTGGCCTGCAGGGGAGACACAGCACAGGATGCTGCAGACTTCCGCTAGGCCACGCCAGTCCCCACAGTTTCAGGAGATGTGGCACAGGCCAGTGTGACCTTGTGCCAGGCTGACACTGCACAGGCCAGTGCAGCCCAGGGGCGTAGCTAGCTCCTCTGGCAGGGGTGAGCTGCCTATGGGGGTGCTGCAGCAATCTGTGCACGGGGGCGCCACATGGGGGCTCCTCAGTGATCCGTGCATGGGGGCATGGGGGTGATCTGCCTGGGAGGGCATGGCAATCCACCCAGGGGGCGGTGCGGCAAGCTGCCCACAGAGTCCACCTGGCAGACGCAAGCCCTACGCTGCCATTTCAGGCAGCGTGGGGCCTTGAGCCACTGCATCACTCCCAGGAGAGATGCATGGCTCTGGCGCACTGCAGGTCAGGCCCTGTGGTAAGTGCCAACCCCCATGGTGTGCCATTTTGCCACCCCCCTCAAGGACGACACCCGGGGTGGACCACACACCCCGCACCTCCCTTCCTATGCCCCTGGTGCTGCCTTCCATTGATGCTGTATCATGCTCAGCTCAGCAATCCGTCAACCTCTGCCATCTCAATATTTGGGGGGCTGAAGGAATATTGAGGGGGTTGATGACACCTCGGCCCCCTAGAGTTGGTGCACCTGATAATAGCATAGCAAAACAACACAATAGAACATGCAACATACATAAACCAACATTTCAGTACTACAAAGCAGTGGCGTAGCATGGGTTGTCAGCACCCGGGGCAAGGCAAGTAATTTGCGCCCCCTAACCCGTGGATTTGCACCCCCTAACCCCCAGATGTTGCGCCCGGTGCGGCCGGCCCCCCCTGCACCCCCCACGCTACGCCACTGCTACAAAGATAACATGATTACATAAACGGAGGACTAGTGTCCTGCTTGGTCCAAATTTTGTTTAAAGACAAAGAACCCTAAGACAGTGGCAGAGCTTCATGCTTCAGCACCGGGAGGCAGAGAGCAGGCAGGGGCGGGGCTGGCGCACATCCTAGGGGCGCGTGTCCTGGGGGCGGGGTATGCCGCCTGCAGGGGCATGGCACCCAGCGTGGGCAGGGGGGCAGCCGCGATGGCACTCTACCGGGATCACACTTCCGGGGGCGGTGTGCTCCCTCCTGCACTCCTCTTCCTCCGCCAGTGCCCTAAGAGAGGAGAGCAGGGGCTTTGAAGTTGCCCATCAGTAGCTGGTCTGAATAATTTACTGAAAATGAAAAAGGCTGCAGTTGGATTTCTGTAGACTTCCCTTCGGTATGCAAGATCAGCTTCTTTCTCCTGTTTGGTATGTGTAAAGCTTTCCATACTCCATATTTCAACCCTGCTGGCATCAGCTGGTTAATGTGCTATTTGTATGAAGAAACACTCTGGTTTCTCTATATCACTTCCTGCCATAAACAGCATGTAAATATAAGATGCATGACAGAGCATCCGTTCAAACTACAGAGCATTGTTTATATCAGGCAGCCATCAATAAGGTCTCCTCAATGTCACAGGCTGCCTGATAACAATTATCCCTTCTGGCCTTTCCTTAGAAGAGGGATTTCATTAGAATAAGAGCAAAAATAAGCATGCTGCCCCAGTCCCAAGAATGATATATCTTCTCTTTTGAAAATATACGTGAACAATATTTATTCCAAGGATGTTATGAAAATGCCGATTGCATCTCATTTGCAAATGGAGAAAAATTGGGCTACGCCCTTGAGATTAAAGATTTATTTACTGCAGGAAACTGTTTTAAAGATACTCTTTTTTAATTTCCTGGAAACTTTTAATTAAGCCTCTTTGAAAACAAAGACAATTATGCAAAAAGCCAAACTGCACCAAAGCAGAGATGACGAATCTTGGAAGAACCCTCTATGTTTCAATCCTCAGGCTGTTATAAAAACAGTGAGGATTAATAAATGCCACAACTGACAATGAATCTGGATTCTAAATTTTAACCCTTGGGGCACTTAAATAAGTGTGCTCATATTGACAGACATCTGGGCTGCTTTTTTTATTTGGGTCAGAGATATTCCTTTAATTCAGTGCATTCCACCTTCTCCTTCAAAGTTTTAACATATGGATAAATTGTTCCTTTGGAAAAGTAACTGAGAAATATATTTATATTTAAAACAAGCCAGACACTAGCTTAATCCCCCAGCAGATTCATCCTCTCAATAGGGCAGAGGTAGCCAATTTGGAGGGACGCGGGTAGCGCTGTGGGTTAAACCACAGAGCCTAGGACTTGCCGATCAGAAGGTCGGCAGTTCGAATCCTCGCCATGGGGTGAGCTCCCATTGCTCGGTCCCTGCTCCTGCCAACCTAGCAGTTCGAAAGCATGCCAGTGCAAGTAGATAAATAGGTACTACTCCGGTGGGAAGTTAAACGGTGTTTCCGTGTGCTGCTCTGGTTCGCCAGAAGCAGCTTAGTTATGCTGGCCACATGACCCGGAAGCTGTATGCCGGCTCCCTGTTAGGATATTTCCGTTCCACCTTAAAAGGGAGCAGGCTTTGTGAGTCAGAGTCTGCGTATTTCCTGTTCACAGGATGTTTATGTTTTCTGTTGCTTTCGTTTTCTCTTGTGTCGCAGACACTAAAGCAGTCAGTCATGTTTTTCTGTGTTCTGATCAACGCTGAATAAACTTGTAAATAATGCTCTCCTGAGTGCAACTTTTGGCTGTGCTAATTGCTGATAGAGCGTGCATGAGCTCTGGAATGTGTGCAAGATATTTTCTAGAAACTCATGTCGCTGCGTGCCTACGGGAGGTCGATGGATCGTCCGGCAGACGGCTTGGGGCCATGATGGACTTTATCTCCCTGGCAGTATCCCAACAACAGGTTTCGGGCCCAGATTCACAGCACTTACAGGAGAGTAAGACTGCGACAGACTGCTGAAAGGTATGTGGAAGAAAAGCGAAAGTGAGGCTTTTCTGTTTGCCGAGGCAAGGGCCTTTGAACTCCGGCAGACTAATTGGATCTGGGAGCCGCGCCAAAGGCTTCATGATTAATGGGAGCAGAGATAAAGACGTCTCTGAAGTGAATAAGATTCACGGCTCAAGTAGAAACCTGGAATGGAGTTTTTCCAGGCTTCTGAGGCTGCTGAGTGCCCAAAGTTAAATCGGCACAACTACCAGACCTGGGCAAAATGGTGTGAGAGTTTGCTGCGTCAGTTTGGAGTGTGGCATACTGTGTCTGAAGCCCCTCCAGTTCCTCTGACAGATAGATGGAAGGCCGAAAATTCGAAGGCCGTTGACGTAATAGTCTTGTCCGTCTCTCTGGAGGAAATAAAGACGCTTGCTGGCAATGTGACTGCACGTAATATGTGGCATGCTTTGAAGATAGCCCATCTGCCAGTCATCCCAGCCCAGAGTTTGACTGCATCGGAGGTCCTGGCTGTTTCCCAGAATGCGAGTGAATGCAGGGATGCCGAGGGCACCGGTTGCAAGCTGCAGGGGAGCTGACTGTCACGTCATCCCAGGCAGCATTCCAGCCTCCAGGGGAGCCAAGGAGTCGGCAGCTGAGAGCTCTGTTTCTCGTGGGAGCCAAGGTCATCGCCTTTGCAGAGGCCGGAAGGGCAAAGGTAAACAGAGGCAGACGCCTGCAGATGGCCAGAAGCAGAGGGAGGGTGAAGAGCCCACGCCAGAGGAAAACAAGGCGTTGTTTGCTGGCACAGCTTCACCAAAGGCTAAAGGCAAGTCTGATGGCCAGGAGCAGGGGGGCAAGCTGCAAAAGCCCACGCCGGTGGAAAACAAGGTTTTGCTTGCTGCAAAGGCTGCTCCAAAAGCCAAGGCCAGGTTTGTTGTTGATTCAGGCTGTACCCGCCATATCTCAAAGGACCGCCACCTATTTATCTCCTTCAAGCCTCAAGATGGTGAGATCCACCTGGCTGATGGAAAGACGTTGCGAATCGCAGGAGAAGGGACTGTGAAACTGGCAAGTCTGCACACTACCATCAAAGATGTACTGTATGTTCCAGGCGCTGCAGACAATTTGCTCAGTGTCCCACAGCTGACTGGGCGTGGTTTTGAGATTTCCTTCAAGAGGAGCGTCTGTGTCATCAGAAAAGGCAAAGAGGACATTTTGCATGCAAAGTTTATGGATGGCTTGTTCTGTATAACTTATGATGACATTGGTGCTGTTGTGTCTAATGCTGATTCTTGTTGTGTTGCACAAACTAACAAAGTTCTTCATGCAGGATGCATTCATGATGCACACAGAAGATTTTGTCACATGTCTTGGCAGGCGCTGGCCAAGATGCCAGAGATGGTTGAGGGTTTGAACATCAAACCCTGTAAGTTTCACATGAAATGTGTATCTTGTGCAGAGAACAAGGTGAAGGTTGCTCCAAAAGGCAAGGAGTCTAGCAGGCAGGCTTCCAAACCCTACCAGCTAGTGCACGCAGACCTGGTTGGTCCACTTGCGCCCTCTTTGGGTGGAGCAAGGTACTTCATGGTTCTAATTGATTCTTTTTCCAGGTACATTCATGTGTTTATGCTCGAGCAGAAATCGCAAGCGTTTCCTAAGTTCAAGGCATTCTGTGCTTGGTTGGAGAATGTTCACGGTAAACGCATTGGCTGTCTGTTTACTGATCGAGGCGGGGAGTTCACTTCTCAGCAGTTTGAAGCTTTCCTGACTGAGAAGGGAATCCAGCATGACTTGTCAACGCCTAGATCGCCATGGATGAATGGGCTTGCGGAGCGAGCAAATCAAACGTTGCTGCAAGGAATGAAAACATTGTTGCATGATGCCAATCTCCCTGATAAGTATTGGGGGGAGGCTCTGTCGAATTTTGCTTACACTTATAATCGCAGATTGTCATCACCTATTGGTTGTACCCCTATGAGAAGATGTTTGGTAAGAAACCCAACATCAAGCACATGAGAATCTTTGGTTCTGACATGTGGGTACACACCCCACAGAGCAACAAGCTTGGGAAGCGTGGGGCACATGGTTTGTTCATGGGGTACGAAAAGGTGCATACAGGGTATGGATGACCAACTCTAAGTCCATTAAGTTCACAAAGAGTGTTGAGTACAATCCTAAGTGGGGGGAAAATGTGGGAATTTTCCAGAGTTACCCAGAGGAGGATGAAGGTGATGTCAAAGAAGCAGCTAAAGCTGAGGAAGCTGCTGAGGATGATGATGACGATGATGATCAGAGTTCGGATTCCAGTTCAGTGGGCGGCGCTGCTGCTGGTGTCAGTGACAGTGATGACACAGCAGACTACAAGAGCGCAAAGGCCTCAGTCAGACCATCTGATGCGTCTGACAATGAACTGGAAGAACCACTGTTCACCATTGGTCACTTTTCTCCTAAGAAAGAGGAGATGAGTCCAGAAGACTTGCGTCTAGTACGCAGATCTGAAAGAGCCACAAAGGGCAGACCTCCAAAGAGATTTGCTGATGAGTTTGCTAAGACAGCAACTGCTGTTCTTAGTAGCTCAGAGAAGGTGTGGGAACCTTCAAGCTTCAAAGAGGTTCAGGAGTTAACCTCTAAAGATGCTGAGCCTTGGCTTAATGCCATGAAGGCTGAAGTTGATTCCTTGAATAGGAACCAAACTTGGGAACTGGTACCGGTAGTCCCAGGAATGAGACTGGTTGGCAGCAAATGGGTCTTCAAGGCCAAGACAGACCAGAATGGCAAGGTTGTCAGACACAAAGCCAGATTGGTTGCCAGAGGTTTTTCACAGGTACCAGGACAGGATTACCACGAGACCTACTCACCCACCGTCAAATATGAGAGCATTCGGCTGATGCTCAAGATAGCTGCAGAGGAGAAACTGCATGTTTCCCATCATGACATTAATACAGCTTTTTGTACGGGATTTTGGAGGAGGAGCTGTTTATGCTTCCACCTGATGGGATGCAGATACAGAAGGGAATGGTCTGTAAACTGCGGAAATCCTTATATGGTCTCAAGCAGAGTGCCAGGTGTTGGAACACAAAACTCACTGAGACGTTGCTTTCTCTAGGTTTTCACCAGGGCAAAGCTGATCCATGTGTGTTTGTCAAGGAGGAGGGGCAAAACAAACTGTATTGTTTATGTTTTGTTGATGATCTTCTGATGTTTTGGAAGAATCAGGCTTTGTACCAAAGCACCCTAGCTCAGCTGAAGGAGCACTTTGACATGAAGGATCTTGGTGAGGTATCCAACTATCTTTCTCTGCAGGTGGAGAGGGACCAAGCAGGTAATTTTCTGGTACACCAAACACAGAAAATTGCTGATGTATTAACCAGGTTGAATTTGGTTGATGCAAACCCAGCAGACACACCGATGGTGACAGGTTACCAGGTAGACAGTACTGCTGAAGCGTTTTCTGACACAACGCTGTACAGATGCATTCTAGGCAAGTTGAATTTCATTGCTAGATGCTCAAGACCTGACATAGCTGTAAGCTGTAACCTGCTTAGCAGACATGCCAACAATCCTACTGTTCAGGATTGGAAAGCTCTGAAGCGCATAGCCCGCTATTTGAAAGGGACTTTGCACTACAGGCTGAGGTTCACCAGTCAGAAGACTGGAGGTCTTGAAATCTTTGCAGATGCAAGTTTTGGAAGTGACACCACGGATGGTACAAGCACTTCTGGAGTATGCTACATGTACAACCACTGTCTGTTTGACTGGTTGTGCAAAAGCAGACGACAGTGAGCCTAAGTTCCTGTGAAGCAGAACTCAATGCTCTGTCATTTTCACTCATGGATTGTGAATGGTTGATGCAACTGTTTAAGGACATCAGAGTTTCTGTGAAATGTCCTGTACAAGTGTATCAAGACAATAGATCGTGTTTGGCTTTGCTGAACTCGGAGAGTTGCAAGCAAAGGACCAAGTACTTGCAGATTAAGCTACATCGTGCAAGGGAGTGTATTCAGAAAGGACTCATTCAGGTGTCCTACATGCCAGGAAATGAAATTCCTGCTGATCTGTTGTCTAAGGTTGTTAACAGAGAACAACTTAAGGTTTATGTACAAAGGTTGCAATTGGGTTGAACCACAGGTACTACAGGTTACACGGAAAGGGGGAGGATGTTAGGATATTTCCGTTCCACCTTAAAAGGGAGCAGGCTTTGTGAGTCAGAGTCTGCGTATTTCCTGTTCACAGGATGTTTATGTTTTCTGTTGCTTTCGTTTTCTCTCTGTGTCGCAGACACTAAAGCAGTCAGTCATGTTTTTCTGTGTTCTGATCAACGCTGAATAAACTTGTAAATAATGCTCTCCTGAGTGCAACTTTTGGCTGTGCTAATTGCTGATAGAGCGTGCATGAGCTCTGGAATGTGTACAAGATATTTTCTAGAAACTCATGTCGCTGCGTGCCTACGGGAGGTCAAGGGATCGTCCGGCAGACGGCTTGGGGCCATGATGGACTTTATCTCCCTGGCAGTATCCCAACACTCCCTCAGCCAATAAAGCGAGATGAGCGCCGCAACCCCAGAGTCGGCCACGACTGGACCTAACGGTCAGGGGTCCCTTTACCTTTACATAGCCAATTTAGCACCTGGTAGGTGTTTTGCCTACAACTCCCATCTGCCTAAGTCAGCAGGGACATGGTCAGAGATGATGAGATCTGTATTCCAAAACATTGGGAGGCCTCTAGACTTGCTACCCCTAATGTACTATCTCCTCATGCCCCCCACCCCCAATTATAGGAACAGTACTGTCAGAAGAGTTAACTGCACACAGCTAAGCAAGCACATAAATAGCTGGATTGGACTACAAAGTTCGCAACTATTTTGGTGTTGCTCTTATATGTTTGTACAGCTTTTAACATTTGCTGCACACTTTACAGCCCGTCGGGGCCAAAAAACCCTTTTACAGAGAACCTTAACTACACATTTGTCAAAAAATAACAATAATCCATGAATAATGAAGTAATCAGTTTCTTGGCACTGATTAATGGTTTATACATTTGTCCCTGATCAGTTATGTTCCACCTCCTTGGCTCACGGTATCTTGAGAACAGGCTAGTTAGTCAAACATTCGCAGCAGCCTGGAGAGATGGCCTTTTTGCATTAGCCCATGATTGTTCTTTTTAGTTACTGCTCTTCAATCTCCATTACTATTTACTGAGAGTAGACACAGGCTAGGTTAACCAGAATATAATAAAAGAAGGCATTCCAAGAAGATTCCTCATGTAACCCGGGTAGAAATGCCATTTCACACCAATCCAAAACTTCACCGAGCTTGGCATTGCTATTCGTCACACATTGTTCTATGCTGTGAACTCTATCAGCTCTCAGAATATTACTCGCTGAAGCTATGGAAGCACCTGTACCCAGTCTCTTGCAAGATGTGACCCAGGAAGGCAAGAATAGCTTCTGTCTCCCCATGTATATTCCTGTCCATTAATTAGAGTGAGACGCCACTGATTTAGACTCTCATGGAAACAAATGGTTATTTCTCCCTATATACATTGAAATGGCAGGCTGTTGTCACCCTGCAGTTCGCGTTACCACTACTAAGTACCATGCCAGCTTCAGTGTGAGGAATTGTTGGGCCAGTGAGTGAGCAAGAAAGCAAGCAGTATGCGTGGCAGGTGGTCCAGCAAGCTATTTGATGGAGGGAGTGCTGTTCAGAGCCTCCCCTTCCCTTAAACACACCTGCAGTGAGGTTTAACGAAGTGGGAGGTACTTCATGCAGCTGCTTAGCTAGCCACTGTGTGAAACCCTCCCCCACTTCATTAAACATGGCTGCACTGAAGTTTCACACACCGGGGAGGTGCTTCACACAGTGGTCTAGCAAGCTGCTTCATGAAGTGTCTCCCCCTCTTTTAAAAGGGGTAAGGGCAAGCTGGGGGGGATAGGTGAGGACGTGTGTGAGGTGTAAAGGGTGGTGGACAAGCAGAACGAGCATGGGCAGCAACCCCTCTTAATTTATTATTATTTTCATTTTACAGCCAAGCTGGGGGAGATGCTTAAGACTAGAGGTGGACAGATGGATTTCCGATGAATCTCAGTTCATATCCATGTGTTCACACATAATTACATCTCATTCCCATGTCAGTCTGTGTTTTTTATTTTAAAAACAAATCAAAACACCCCTCATACATTTTTGTACATATTGCACTCTAAAATACGCATTATTATAGACGGTTTTTTTTTATTTTTAGTTGAGCATTGCAATGCAAAATTTTGAAAAGTGCAAACAAAATAAACAGCATTCTGATCTGCCTATTCGTCCAGAAACCATGCATCATGTCTGTTTGCTTAAAAAGCAGACTGAATGACCCAGCAATTCCAAATGAAAGATAGGGGAAATGCCTGAAGGGTTGGAATCGCCACTGCCGGTCAAAATACAGTAGGCAATGGTGGACTAAATGGACTAAATGAAATCCGCAGACATACCCCCTTGTGATATTTTCTGCCTAAGGTACCCCCCAAAAACCTTAAATACTCACGCTGCACCTTAACCTGGTGAGAGAGTCCAGAGAACCACTTGTTTCTCTACTTCAGGCAGCAATATCTCTTGAGCTGGCTTTGCTTCACACATTTTGTATGGCTAAATGGCCTCATTTAAGTTAGGTGACTTTCAATTACTTCTCTCAATTCTTTTGTTCTCTGTTCTCTTGCTCAGTTCTAGTCCCTTAAAAGTCGAGGGGATTATTCAAAAATAATTATTTGGAGATCACAGCTTTGTTTTGATATTTTGGGGCTTATAATCCTTTTTAGAAACTCCACCCACATAACTTTTTTATGATTTATTAATTCAGAGAGGGAAAAGGCACTAATCTTCTTCCTATCTGAAGTCCAGTTATTAGTTTTTTTGCTCCTGAGAAAAGATGTTTACCACTGATTTCAAAGGAAGCAGGGAAAAGCCTGTTGTTTTGATATTCATTTTAAAGTAACTAATATGGCCCAGAACAGCTGAGATAAAAAAACAAGAAAAAATGTACCAAGCGTGTTTAATTAAATCCTTTCAACCTACTTGAAAATATACTATTTGCATATCTAACTTTAAAATCCATTTTATGAGGAATTTGTCATGTCAAATACTTCTCCAATTCTGTACTGCCTTCTGGATTATTCATTTATTCATACTTTCTTTCCGAGCATTTACCACTCTTTAGAAAAACAAACAAACAAAAAACACCCCCAAAAAACTAAGAAGTGTGTTCTGGAGCAGCAGCTGGAAAGTTATTGGCCTACCAGGGTGTAGCTGGAATCTGCCATCTTCTTATAATTCCCTTCAAGGTACATAGGCTTTGGAAGCTGAGCTGATACCATTAACCCCAGAGCAGATGCTCCTGCTGTTCTTTCTCACAGGGCAAGTGGAACTGATGGTCTCTCTGAAGGGGAGGAAAGACCCAGACCACCTGGCGAGAACAGCAGCAGAAGACAGCCGCTCCAGGCATAGTCAACAGAAGATGGCAGATGTTTAGTCTATTGTTTGCAAGTTCATAATTGGGAAGGGAGGGATGGACATGCCTGGGTTAACTGCCTTGCTTTCTCCCCTTTTAATAGCCTCTGGAGCTGCCTAGTACATAATCAGACAATTGCTCTGTCTGGCCAAGCTTGTGCCAAAAGGTACTAGCTCTCAAGGTTCTCTCCTAATACTGTCTAAGTTCCATTTTTTTTGCTGAAGATACCAGACAAAGTCCTTTTATGTACAAATAAGCATGCAGCCAACCACAGAGCTATGGGGATGTGTAACCAGTATCCCCTATGGTCAGTTTTGCATTCTCTGTACCTGGCAGAGCCAAGGATGACTTGTAGCCTTCAAGACTTCTCTGTCTAGCCCTTGGAACTTTACTCAGGCCACAGCCCTCACTGCTCTTGACCTGCGATCTCCTTGAACAAGTGCTTTTGCTTGGTTGGAATATGTGCTTGAATTGTGAGACTGGATGGAGAGGGTATTTGTGGGTGTAGTGTGGTCTAGAAATCTCTGACTTTTGTATAGTTGGAATACACTCTACAGTGGTACCTCGGGTTAAGTACTTAATTCGTTCTGGAGGTCTGTTCTTAACCTGAAACTGTTCTTAACCTGAAGCACCACTTTAGCTAATGGGGCCTCCTGCTGCCGCCGTCCTGCGATTTCTGTTCTCATCCTGAAGCAAAGTTCTTAACCCAAGGTACTATTTCTGGGTTAGCGGAGTCTGTAACCTGAAGCGTATGTAACCTGAAGCGTATGTAACCCAAGGTACCACTGTACTGTAGAAAGGAAAGAGCAGGCTTCCTCAACCTCAGGCCTCCAGATGTTTTTGGCCTACAACTCCCATGATCCCTAGCTAGCAGGACCAGTGGTCAGGGATGATGGGAACTGTAGTCTCAAAACATCTGGAGGGCCAAAGATGAGGAAGCCTGGGTAAGAGTCAATCTGTTGCTCCACCCACTGTTGCCTCTGGCTCCACCCACCATTGTCATGTGGTCCCCAGAGGGATTTCCATGAGAGGATTCAGTGCTTGGGGGGTTGAAAATGGTGTCATGTTCCTTCTCTACTATAGACTCCTGTCAGTAAAGTACCGCAGGTGAGGAGGTTTGTTCTTCTGCTAGTATATTGAATCTAAAGCTAAGCATCAATGTATGAACCCCCAGACCTGAAGGCAAGCAGAGTCATACTAAATGATCTTTGATTTGATATTATTTCACAGTTAATACAAATCAGTCAGTGGAGCTGTCCAGGTCTTACATTACTGGATGAACGTTTCAGTTTTTAGATTCTAATGTTGTAAAGAAGCTGATTGGTCAAGTCTGACCCTGGTATTAAATCTTTTTTTTTATTTTCCCACATATTTTAATTTAATAGTATGCTATGATTTTAAAATTACTAGTTCTGTGTTTCTTTAAAATAAAATATTTATTCTAACTAATCATTGCTGCAATGTTTTTAACATTATGTTGTCCATTTTAAGGTCTATTGTGTTAATTTTAAAGTCTCCCTATTGCTGCTTCCAAAGTTGTCCTACTATAATTAAATTTAGGTTTTTTTTACTTTGTACTTTGCCCAGACAATTCTTGCTACTGGGTAGCTAATTCACTGAATGAATGAATGAATGAATGTGCTGGATTTTATAAGGAGGCAATTCAATGTTCCTTACATTGTTTAGAATAAAATTAATACAGCTTTAGATGGTTAGCCTTATAAAGTTTGTCATGGAGCATGTTTATGCACAATATACTTACTCTCTGTGCCAAAAAAACCTGCAAACAAGCATTAATTGTGCATATGTGTGTGGTCCGTTCCCCCCCCCCCCCACTGTGGCCTTTGGTAATGAAACCAAG